GGGCAGCCAGGCGCGGCGGCGAGGCGCGCGCGCGGTGCAGCGGAGGGGGCCGCCCTCCCGAACGCGGGCACTCCTCCTCCTCCTCCCCTCCCCTCTTCTCGTTTCTTTCTTCTTCTGTTCTATGATTATTCCTCCTCCCCCCTCCTATCCTCCTCCTCCTCCTCCCCCTCCCCTCCCCTCCCCCTCCTCATGCTCCTCCTCTCTCCTCCTCCTCCTCCTTCCTCTCCTCCTCCTCTCCTCCTCCTCCTCGCCCCTCCTCCTCCTCCTCCTCCTCCTGCCCCGCCTCCTCCTCCTCCTCCTCCTCTCCTCCTCCTCCTCCTTCTCCTCCTCCTCCTCCTCCTCCTCCTCCCCCCCTCTCCTGGGCGCCCTTCGAACGGCGGGGAGAGCCCCGCCGAGACCACGGCGGAGTCCTCCCCGGGGGCGGGGACTCTCGTGGTGCTTGGGGCGGGCCACCTGGCCGCCGAACGTTCGCAGGCCCCTCCAGGTGCCATGGCGCTGGCACTGGGAAGGGTGCGGGGGAGGAGCAGGAGGAGGGAGGAGGAGGAGGGAGCAGGAGGAGGGAGGAGGGAGCAGGAGGAGGGAGGAGGTGGGAGCAGGAGGAGGGAGGGAGCAGGAGGAGGGAGGAGGGAGCAGGAGGAGGGAGGAGGGAGCAGGTTCGGGGGAGGAGGGAGCAGGAGGAGGGAGGAGGTGGGAGGAGGGAGGACGGCACATCATGGCTGGCCGCTCGCTCAGGAGCAGCGTGGACTCGGCAATCACCGAGAACCCCCACACAGCAGAAACAACCGGGCACCGCAAACCTGGCAGTGTTGCGCGAGTCCAGCCCCCCCCCCATACAGACACACACACAACACACACACACAAAGAGAAGCGATCACCTGGCCTTGTTCGTAAGACTCCAGACAAAACATACAACAAGCACATACATAAGGCATTGGGCAGTGATCCCCCCACCAGAAAAAGACACACAAGTTGAGATTTGATGTGTTTCGTGGGCCTTCGGCCCAACGAAACAACATGAAACCCTAGCATGGCCGTGTATCTTGAGGCTCCAACTTATAAAGAACAAATACGGAGCAGGCACTGCTTCCAAGCCAATCAAAACAAACAGCTGGCAGTTCTTCGTGCGCGTAAATCACGGGAATCGCATAAAGCTGATAACGTGAGCTTCTAAACCATGATCAGCCACTGAAAGCAGCGCTGCAACCTATCAGTCTTTCGTGGGCCTCCAAGCAGGAGCACCAGGACAACCTTAGTCTGGCAATGTTTCGTGAGCCTACAAACTAGAAGCTGGAATAATCATAACAATCATGAACCAGGCAGAGCTTCGTGATCGTCCGAACACAAGCGACCTCGAGTTCAATCATTTTCATCCGCTTGGACACCGTCTCCGAAGGGTGAAAGTCCAACGTGCTGACGCAAATAAGAGATACAGACATGCAACTAGACATACATACGTATTAATAGACGGATGTAGCAATACTTGTGTAAATAGTTCCCTACCTAGGCTCTGCCTAGAAGAGTTCTTACTCGGTTTGCTTAAAGGGCCGGGCAGTGGGGCACGCCCCGGGCGGTCCCCCCGGCATCCGCCCCGCGGTTCCCCCAGTGACGTTCCCTTAGCTTCGCGTTGCTTATCTCATCTTAGCTTAGCTTATTTCATCTTAGCTTAGCTTAGCTGCATCTTAGCTCAGGTTCATCTTAGCTTAGCTTACCTTCATCTTAGCTTCGCCGAGCTTTAGCATAGCAGAGCACAGTACAACATAGCAGAGCGTAGCACAGCACAGCGCAGCACGGCATATCATAGCAAAGCCCAGCATAGCACAGCATATCGCAGCATAGCATAGCATAGCATAGCATAGCATAGTGCAGCTTCGCATAGCATAACATAGCATAGCTTAGCATAGCACAGCGCAGCATGACATAGCATAGCATAGCATAGCGTAGCACAGCATAGCATAACATAGCACAGCATAGCGCAGCATAGCATGGCATAGCATAGCATAGCAACTAATGTTGTTTTCCTAGGGGCTCCAACTTCTAGGTAGGGTCGCACTGGGGTAATTGTAGATATAAGCGTGCACTAAGATAATCGATACACGTAGATCAAAGCGAAAAATCGCGACGGGTTGAAACGCGATTGAGAGATACCCCACTAGGATATCCTATGATTAATGTAATTATTGTCGTTTGTGGTAGGGGGGTAGGCGTTTGGGGGGGGGGAAGGCCATATCTATATACACGAGCACAGGTGTACAGAAAGAGCGAGCGAGAGAGAGAGGAATGGGAGACAGTCTATATATACATATACATCTACAAAGGCAGAAAGGAGAAACAGAGAAGAGAGAGAGAGAGAGAGAGAGCACGAGAGAGAAACGGGGGGGGGGGGAAAGAAACACAGAGAGAGAGAGAGTAGTGGAGAGAGGTGGAGATAGATATCTCATCAAGCAGAACAAGTCATACATATAGAGGCATGCAAACATGCAGATAAAGAGAGGGATAGAGAGAGATGGGGGCGAGGGGGCGAACGAAGACACACACACACATATACATATATACAAATACTTGAATATACGCATAGATTTCATTATGTGTACGCACAGGTATATGTATCCACCCATATGTGTACGGCCGGACCTCTAAGACAGAATAATAGCCTCCAAGAACATGAGACCCCCTTCTCGCAAAGAACCGAAGAATACTCGAGGGTACCCTGCCCGACACAAGAACATACAACAAACACGAGGAACATTAGGGTAGCCCCGCCCGGACCGACCTCGACCTTATACCTCGGTCCAGCCGTAACCAAAACGAAGCAGCATACATGTATTGCGAGCATATGGAAAACCTAGAGAAGAGATGCGCGACAAAGAAAAAGGGATCTATAGAAGTACGCACTAAACTATAAGAGATATGGTTGAGGAAAGAGGCAGCAGAGAGCGTTGCGACATATATGTATATCTTTAGAAGAGAGAGAGAGAGAGAGAGAGAGAGAGAGAGAGAGAGAGAGAGAACGAGAAAGAGAGAGAGAGAGAGAGATAGGGAAGCAGCGTTTTTCCTCAACGGATGCACGACTTATCATACCTGTGGCCCCTTTGGCACGGCATTTATCATCGCAAAAAGAGCACGCGCGGCAAACACATACGAGGGAGAAAAGAGTGGAAGGGAGATCAGAGCGAGAGAGGGAGAGGGATAGAGAGAGAGAGAGAGCGATAAAGGTGGAAAGATACTTTCTCACGGAAGCAGGAAGGGAGAGAGAGAGCGGGAGAGGGTCAGGGAGATGGAGGGGAAGGAGAAAGAGTACTCCAGATTTCGTAATAAAGGGAGGGGGGTCTCATTTCGGGGGGGGGTCTCTTCCAGGCTATCTTGGAGGGCCTGGGGGGTCTGGGGACAATGTTTTGGAGGGTTCTCCCACGGGGGAGGTCTGAAATGGCTTGTCTTGGAGGGTCCAGACCCCCTCCCTTTTATTACGGTAGGGGAGGAAGAGCTGGAGAAAGGGGACCTTGCCCCGCCTCATGCGCGGCTGGTGCTGCATGGGCAGTCCCCGCAGATCCCACCACGGGCCAGGTCTGGCCTGCAGTTACGCCACGCAGGTGGTGGCCGAACATGCGAAGAAAGCCTCGCGCGCGCTGCCTCACAGCTCCTCGGAGGCCTTGGCGGTCACAAGGCTTAGTTGAAGGGGACCCAGGACACACAAGTAAATACACACAAATAAGAGGATCCCCCGTATTTTCATATATTTTCTGGGCTTCTGTCTTCCCCCCCCCATTCCCCACATTTTCCCAAATGTCCCCGGGGATCGACGATGAATTGTGTCTGTGTGTTTTGTTCCCCTCCTGAATTAGTGCCAGCCGAGGTCCGAGGAGCAGGAGAAGAACCAACGGCATAAATATATAACTTGTGGAGCTCTGCGCGCCTTTCTTGGACCTGCGCTGAGCACCCTTCTCCCTGTGGCGCGCGAGCGCGCCCTTAGGGGCGGCGCCGGAGGCGCCGCCAGAGGGGGGCCCAGAGCCGATCCGAGGAATCCGCGCTGAGCTCGTAGTTTCCGCGCCGAGAAATCCGAGAAATCCGCGAGAAATCCGCGCCGAGAACCCGATCCGATCCGAGAGATCCGATCCGAGAAATCCGAAGTTTATGTCTGTGCCGTTCTTCTTCCTCGAGGCAGGCAAGAGTCGGGTCGTGCGAAAGGGGGGGATAGCAAAGGGGGGGGGGGTGAGAATCAGCTCACGTCGCTGATTTTCCCGGCGCCTCCCGGCGCCCGAGGCGGCCATGCATCAAGGAATGGGCCCCTCGGTGAGGCCGAAACCAGCTGCATGCACCAAATTTCGTAACCCCGTGGGAAAAAACACACGTCTGTTGGAAAAACCACACAGACTGTTGGAAAAACACACACGTGTGTGTGTGTGTTTTCCCAGTGTGTGTGTGTGTGTGTGTGTGTGTGTGTGTGTTTGTTTTTCCCACAGTGTGTGTGTGTGTGTGTGTGTGTGTGTGTTTGTGTGTGTGTTTCCCACAGTGTGTTTTTTTTCCCACAGTGTGTTTTTTTCCCACAGTGTGTTTTTTCCCACAGTGCGTTTTTTTCCCCTCAGACTTTCCCAATCCCCCCCCCCCTTTCGCCCGGCCCGAAAGAGGGCAGCGAGCAGAGAAGAGGACGACACCGGCAGCGGAGAAAACGCCGCGCTAAAGCCACAAACGGCGACGGCGGGCCCGGGACTGGGAGCTTGTGCCCTGTCTCCGGCCTGCTCCCAGCGGCTCTGCATAGATTTGGACGCCCGAAATGGGTACGGAAAAAATGGGCACAATGCCCAACAACAAATGCTGTCCCAAACCAACAGCGGCCGCTGTTGGGCAGGCGGCCTTCTGTCTCGCATGGACACAGGCCGCGGCGGCGTGGACAGCGAGTCCTGTTCAAAATGAACAGGGACTGCTGTTGGGCAGTGTACCCATTCTTTCCGTGCCCATCTCGTTCGTGCAGAATAGTACGGGGGGCGGCTCCCTCCCTGAATCCGTCACGGTGCACTCCCAGGCAGCACTCTCGAGCCCCGCATCATCTTCATGAATTCTTGAAAATCGATGGATCCATCGTTGTTCGCGTCCGCCTGCCTCACAAGTTCCACGGCGCTCCTCGTGCTCGTCTTGTCCAGCATCTGCTTCAAGTCGCTGGAAGTGATCTTGCCGTCACAGTTCACATCAAAGAGGCTGAACGCATTCCAGCATACAGCCTCATCAACGTACTGCTGCTTCTCAATAGTCGCAGCCAAGAACTCGGTGTAATCTATCTCTCCGCTTCCGTCGCAATCAACGCTGTCCATGATATCCTCCACGTCTGGCCTTGGAATCTGAATGCCGGCCTGCTGCAAGCCTCTCCGGAGCTCGGAATGTGTGATCAACCCATCGCCATTCACATCGAGCTTCACGAAGATGTCGCGGAGGCCCCGGATCTTGGTCTCGTCGAGCTGACCAGCAATCACATGCAAGGCGGCCTTCATGAACTTGTTGCGCAACCGGAAGCCGCGGAGTTTATCCACCAGGTCACCCTGAAGCGCCACAGCCGGCGCCGTGGGCGCCTTGTGGGCGATCCAGGTGTGGCGTAAGGCCTGCTCCGCAGCGAAACGGTCCACGGGAGACTTCTTCATCAGGCACGTGATCAATACCTTGGCATCTTCCGAAACATACCTCCAATCTTGTGGCCTGAACTCATAGAGTCCCAAGCTCACTTTCTGCAGCACCTCGGCGTCGTTCTTCCCCTGGAAGGGCGGGTAGCCACAGAGCATGATGTAGAGAATGACCCCCACGCTCCTCGGGGCGGCCAAAATCACAGGAGTAGTGAGACTTGGACTCCTCTTCCCCCCCCCTCCTCCTAATCTCACTATGACTGTGGTTTGGGCTGCTCTGATATCCATATATCACACTTGTTGTCGTAGAGGCTGCCCAACACCTCTGGAGCGACGTAGTACGGGGAGCCCGCCCTGGTTTTCATGGGCTTGCCAGCCTCATACTTGCCAGAGAGGCCGAAGTCGATGATCTTCACCACGTTGTCCTCGATCGGGTCCTGGTTTTGGAGGAGGAAGTTCTCAGGCTTCAGATCCCTGTGAGCTACGCCTTGCTTCTGCATGTAGCAGATCGCCCGCAGGACCTGCTGCATCACCGCCGCCGCCTGGGGCTCCGAGAACCGCCCGTCGCGCACGATCCGCTCGAACAGCTCGCCCCCGCTGCAAATCTCCATGCAGAGGTAAATATTCCGACCGTCCTCGAATGTTTCGTAAAGCTTGATGATGCCCGGGTGGTCCATCATCTTCATGATGGCGATCTCCCTCTTGACTCGATCGAGGTTCCTCAGCTTCGCCTTGGGGATCGTCTTGATGGCGCGGACTGCCTTGGTGGCCTTGTGCGTGGCGCGGCACACCGATCCATAACTGCCCTCGCCCAGCTTCCTCCTGTCCATCGCATACGCGTCCGCGATCTTGCCGGGGCGGTCGATGATGAACTGGGCACGCCCGATGCCGCCGTCCTTCACGTGCCTGTGGGGCAAGAGGCTGGGCAGCCTCCGCACCGAGGGGCCCCGGGAGGGCCCCTCCTGCTCGGCGGCGACCACCGCCTCTCCGGTCGCGGCGCAGCACGCCCCCATGGCGCCGGCACGCGCGGCGCGCACACCTGGGGCTCTGTCTGGCGCGGCGGGCCTGCGAGCCTCGATCGCCTGAGCTGATCACACCTGCGGAGGAAGAGTTGGGCGGTGATGTGCTTCTCTAGGGCTATGTTGCTCCCATTCCTACTTAAGGACCACATCACCGAAATAATTTCGAGCACCCGGAAGGGTGTCGAAAGAGTGTCGGAAGAGTGTCGAGAGAGCGTCCCCCAGGGCCCGACACGCCAAAACCCTTGAATTTCGGTACTTTTTTGGGCGCTCGAACTTCTTCCTGGTGATCAAGGCCAAAGTAGGTTGGAGCATCATACCTCTAGGGAAGCGAGCAGTGGCACAAACACAACAGCTCGGAGGTCCGCGCGGATGCTTCGGATCGGCGTGGAACCCCCCTCCCTTGGCGCGCGGAGCGAGCCAGGGGCGGCGCCGGAGGCGCCGCCAGAGGGCTCCAGCGCCGATCCGAGAGATCCGCGCGGACCTCAGAATTTTCATGTTTATGTACTTGCTCGTTCCCCTAATCTCCCAACAGGGGAATGTAAAGCGGATATGAAGAACAATACGCGCCGTCTCCTTACTACAACCTTAGAAAGGTCGTCTCCCAACACTGCCGCACACGCCCATGCCGATCCACAACGTGTCGGGAATGTCCACACCCATGCCGCCTGCCATTATGTGGCGCAGTCGTGTTACATGTGGACCACACTTGGTACTCATGACGCCGTGCGTGCGACATTGGGCCCAAAACCATGCCAAACCAGGGCCAACCCAGGCCAATTCTGACGACGGCCAGGCACATTCTGAGGATGTCTCAGGAGAGGCCCGCGGCCAAACCAGGCTAAACCAAACAGATGTTGAGGACGTCCCAGGCAGCATCGCCCAAACCAGGCCCTATCCACTCTCATGAAAAAAAAAACTGCAGACCTTTCGGCGTGTGGAGGACGCTGTCGTCGTCGACGACGTTGTCGCCGGCGTTGTTGTCGTTCCCCCTTTGTTGCTCCCTGAAAAGCACCTGCCGGACCCAGGCCTGGGATACGCGAGCTGGAGGCCGATCCCCCCTGGGATATGCTAGCCGGGGATTGGGATGCGCTTTCCGGGCGCCGACCCCATCCTTGGATGGCCGGCCGGGTCCGGACCCCGTCCTGGGATGGCTGGCCAGGCCCCGACCGTCCTGGGATGGCCGGCCAGGAATGGCCCCCTCATGGCATGGCCGGTCGGGCCCCGATCTCCCTCCTGGGATGGCCAGCAAAGGCCAGGGAACGACCACGACCACGCCCACAACGACGAAGACGACGAACACGACGAGTACGGCGACTATGGCTTGTCGTCGTCGTTGGTGCCGTCGTCGTCGTCGTCGTGGTGGTTGTCGTCGTCGTCGTGGTCGTCGTCGTTTTCATCGTCGTCATCGTCGTCATGGTCGTCATCGTCGTCGTCGTGGTGGTCGTCGTCGTCATCGTCGTGGTGATGGTCGTCGTCGTCGTCGCCGTGGTCGTCGTCGTCGTCTTCGTCGTCGTCTTCGTCGTCGTCGTCGTTGTGGTCGTCGTCGTCATCGTGGTGGTGGTGGCGGTCGTCGTCGTCGTCGTTGTCGCAGCGGTCGTCGTCGTCGTCCTCGTAGACGTGGTGGTGGAGGTGGTGGTCGTCGTCGTCGTTCCCTTTCCCCCCAAGTCTTTGTCCTCCTCCTGTTCCTGCTGCTGCTGCAACTCCTCCTCCTACTCCTCCTTTTCCTCCTCCTCCTCTCCTCCTCTTCTTCGTCCTCCTCCTCCTCCTCCTCCTCCTCCTCTTGTTCGTCGTCCTCCTCCTCCTCCTCCTCCGACTACATCTTTCACTTTCCGAGAGCCAGGGCAGGAGGAACAGAGAAACGCAATATCTGTCCGCGCGTAGCGCGACGCGCGGCGTCTGCGAGGCCGACGGAATGACACGCCCGCACGCAAAGTTGCCCGCGCGCTGTCTGAAGCAGTACCCAGAGCGCGCGATATCACGACCTGAAATCAACAGTAGAGTGACCGCCTCGGGGGCGGCCCGAAAACAGCTCCGCGAGCCCAGGGAGCCACGTCGTGTAATGGCGCGCTGAACGGCTGCACCAACAGCGCAATAGGGCTCCAGTCTGGGTGAGGGGTCGCTCCAAACGCGCGCGGTGTCGCGACGACCCTGCCCCATCCACCTGGAAAAAAACCACCGGCCGACGACGAGCCACGAACCAACGCGCCACTGCTTCAGCGTCACCCTGTGGGCGCTCGGTTTCGCGGGCGCCATTGGGAATGCATGGGGGCATGCGGTCGCCTCCTGGCCGGTTTCCTGGGCAAGAACCATGTCGACCCAGTGATAGCACGAGGGGCAACCGCCTCGCCCCTGGAATCATCGCCCCACTCACGGCACCTCACACCTGAACAAGTGTTACTGCTTCGCCGCCGCATCGTTTTTGGAGCAGCGGTCGCGCCTTCCCGTGAAAGCTCCCAGCGTTCGGAACGTTCAAGCTGCGATGTATTCAGCTTCCTGGGGCAAAACGATCGTTCTGTCGCTCCTGTACGGGCACGCCTCGGCGGTGGTGATCCTCTACTGCGCACTCGGTCCAGAAATAGCAACGGCCCGCGTGCTCCCACCCATAATTACTGCATACGATCGGCATCATACGGGAGATCGTCGAAAGATCTTTTGATGGATTCTCGAAGAGGCGCGCCTTTTGCGTTCGTGCCGCCCGACCACTCCAGCGCGGAGAAAAATACATCCTAACACGAATCCACATCGTTCAAAAAACAGTTCGGGGGAAAAAACATTCCTTGATTTATCCCAATACGTCATCAACCTTAACTGGTAAGCTGATAGACTTGGGCCACTTTTCCCGCTGGTCGGCAGCGCATTGTTCGCGCAACCATTTGGCCAATCGCTGATTGGCGCCACCTCGGCGATCGGCAAGCTTGACCGCTGCGCTTTCAAGATCATCCGCTGTTTGCGCTCTCTCACACCGCGCTGAGAACTTTTTATATCATTCATGTCAAGCCAAACGACTGTCAACCCAACACCTCTGTGGCAGACAGTACAAGCATTTCTCGAATGGAGCAGGCACGCCGCCCTTGCGATGCCAAATCCTCTGGAATGCAGCCGATTGCTGTTTGTTCCCTCATCTTTCCAAGCTGTTTCATCGGTCTCGTTAAACTTGCGATCGGGATACCGAAAACCCCCCCGCGGTTGAACCAATCATTTGACTTCGTCGAAATTTCAGTGCCACACTGTCGCACCTTTCAACCCAGGAATTGCCGAGAACTTACTCATGCCTGCCGCTCCTCCAGAACAGGATTTCTGCAACTCCCGCATACGCTTGGGAAAACAGCCAAGACGGTGTTCATGTTTGGCAGCTTCATTGTTTTCTGCAGCATCGAATTCGGTTTTGCTGAAACGCAACGGCATACGATAAACATTATCCGCTACGAACTTTGCGAAACTGGCGACGTGGCTCTCGAGCTGCGCATCACGATCACAAGCTGCCACGCACAGCTCCGGGCTGGAGCATGATTATTCGTTTGTCCCTGACACAACATTGGCCCTGGCTTCCTCGTCGGTGTCATTCAAATCCAATTTCGCTACGCGACCATGCTTTGTGAACTTCCTGCTGCCAACTGCATGCGCACATGTGGCCGTTCCCTTCTGATCCACCCCCATCCCATGTAGCCCATGGTGCAGTTGCTGGCCGCTTCTTCGCCCCAGCCCACAGTGTGATCACAGGAGCGCGAGCTAAGGGATTACTTAGAGTCTCGGAAGAACCGAAGAATCGAAAAGGTCTTGAGCCGCAATGATAACAACGCTTGTTGAAGGATTTTGGTTCGACATGTTCTCGTGTTGGGGCTGTGTTTTGTGGCCATCCCTTCGCTCTTTTCGACCTCCTGGGGCCGTTTTCGGGTCCCAGAACCGTCCGGAATCGACTGAGATGAACAGCTGATCAGGATGGACCCCGAAGGGGTCTGCGGACCCGATTTTGACCGATTGACAAAGCGTTACGGCTTGGTGCCGCCAACCTGTCGGGAATGTAAATCGGACCGCCGTCGTCGTCGTCGTCGTCGTCGTCGTCGTCGTCGTCGTCGTTCAAGGTCGGCGGCACCGGCCGTAAGGCCCTGGGGGGCCCCCGGCGGGCGGCACCCCGCTCAGAATTTTATGGGGGGGGCACTTGGGCCGCGCGCCCGCTGATGTGGGCAGTGTTGGTCGCAGAAGTTTTCATTTGTCATTCGGGCGTCGTTGGGCCCTTGGTGTGGCGCTCGGAGGAACACCTCCGAACCTGGTCAGCCTCGGAAAAGGGGGTCTCCTAACGATGCCACGCACGCCCATGCCGATCCACAGCGTGTTGGGAATGGCCACGCCCATGCCGCCTGCCATATTGTAGCGCAGTCGTGTTACATGTGGAACGCAAGTTTTTTTTCATTACTCCGTACCATTAGCTCAACATGTAGACGCCAACCACGACGTGGGTGAATTACCCACTCAGTGTCGAAGAAAACGTGACACATCCCACTGTGTGTTGAGGGCGCATGGCGACAATGTCGGAGATTACCCAACCGCGCAGACATTCGATGATTTCTCTCCTGCGATATACCAGCTGGGAATCACCACCGCACATTTTGAAGACGTCTCGAACGACACGGAACCGAAACCATACCAAACGAGGGAGGCAGTAGTCAACTTGTGACGACGTCTCAAGCGAAACTGGGCCCACACCAAGTCAACACAGGGCCAAACCAAGCACCTTGTGAGGACGTCTTGAGCGGAACTGGGCCCATACCAAGCCAAACCAAGGCCTGGTTTTTTTCAGGACGGCGTCCCTGGAAGTCCCGTTGCCCGGGACCGGTTTTTCGTCCTGAGTCGTTGCTTGACGGTCCCGAAGCCCGGCGCGAGGGCCACCAGGGGCCGAAAATAGTCTTAAGAACACCCCGCCCGGATTTTTTGTTGTTGCGATGCGAGCCGTTCGGGGCCCGACTCCTCCAGGTAGGCCGGCTGGCCGAGGAGCTCCAGCGGGGGGGGACCGCACATGGACATTATATATTATAACCCCGTGGCTCAAGATGCCCCCCAGGACCCCCCGAAGTGAATA